CGTTACCTCCAGGACCCCTGTACTTCTTAGTCCAACCTTTTCCCTCCTGGGACCGTCGTCCCCCACCAACAAACCACCAACAAGACCACCAATTTCATAGTACACGAGGGTACCGATCACACACATGGCGACACACGCCTCCTAAGTTCTAGCACGATTCAAGACACCAAAACCTACATGGATTCCTATCATATAGTTCTAGACATACGAAACATCAAGAAGACGCTCAAATAGTTCTACAAAAGAACATCGGGAAGTCAAAAGACCAAATACCGAGTCAAAAGAATCACGGGGAACAAATCCCAAACAACATCAGCATGTTCCCCGCGGGTGGACCCACGGGTAGGCTCCCACCTGTGGTTCCGCCCGCGGGTACACACCAACCGGCTTATGTTCCCTACGGGTGGGCGGTGGGTGGAGCTCTACCCGTCGTTCCGCCCGCGGGTACATACATGTGCCCAAAATAATCCCTTCGGGGATTTTCAACACCAAGCTCAAATTCAAGTCCAAAACATGCCAAATCTCACCAAATACAACAAAATGACTTGAATCAAAGGAATAACCAAGCAATGGCATACAAGAACCCTAATAACAAGCTCTAGATATGCATTTTCACAAGACAATGCATCAACACTCATATTTCATAGCAAAATCACATGTAGAATCCAAGAAATCATTAAATAGGTAAGCAAAATAGATTTTGTAGAGCATGGGTTACCTCTTGTAGACAAAAACCTTCTCTTAACACCTCACCAAGCTCCTAACAAAGCTCACCTTCCACACCCACTTCAAGAAAACACCAAAAGATCATAAAGATTCTATCTTTAAGAAAAGACACCTTAGAAAACACTAAAAACACAAGATGAACATGGATCTTACCCTCCTAGATGCCCAAATGTATGAAAGGTAGAATCTTGGAGACAACTCTTGAAGTTTTGACAAAGCTTCACTTGGCTTGGAAGAAAAGCTATCTACCTTTTTAGAGAGAAGGTGGAGCTAGAATTTGGAAAGTGTAAGGAGAGAAATGAGGGTGTTCGACTAGGTTAGCTTACAATACTAACACAAGGTGAAAAGTCAAGAATACCCTTACTAACATGAAGAGGTGTAAGGAACAAAGGAACTCCTTACAAAGCTTAAGGTACAACCTTGACTTTGTGGTTGACTAGTCAATTACTAGTCCCCGACTATTGAATTTTCAGGATTTTTAGGAATTAAATTACCAATTGAAATAGGATTAATTACTTAATTAATCCCTTAGTGGAATTTGGATTTCGGGGTGTCACAAGAAAAACGATTCAATGAAGCTCAAAGTGAATTGTTAGATTCCAAAAGCAGAGAGGCCAAACTGTTACAAGAAATCAAAGTTCTAACTGAAAGGCCTGAAAATCCTGAAGTGTCGCAACATCACTTTCAACACCGCAGAAGGATCAGATGCTATTACTGCCATAGATTGGGTCACATAAAGGCATACTGCTATAAAAGGCAAAATGATCTCTATTACAGACAAAACAACAGAGATTGGTCAGCACAAAACAGAAATAATAGCAAGAAAATATGGGTAAGAAAAGATCAAAATGTTGCCTACACCTCTAAAACAAGCAAATAACAAAACATATGGCATTTTGACAGTGGGTGTTCAAGGCATATGACTGGAAATCCAGAAAACCTAGAAAACATTCAGTATAAGAATGAAGGGTATGTTACCTTTGGAGATGGAGGAAAAGGTAAGATTATTGCAAGCGGTATTTTGAATTTACCTGGGCTACCTAGACTGCCAAAAGTCTTCCTAGTACAAGGACTAAAAGTAAATTTAATTAGTATAAGCCAGCTATGTGAAGATGAACTTAAAGTGAAGTTTTCAAAAGATAGCTGCAATGTTCTCAACCAAAATCACGAATGTGTCATGATAGGGAAAAAGTCTACAAATAAATGTTACACATGGGACGGTGATCTAACCTATCTACAAACAACCGTCAATCAAACACAATTATGGCACCAACGGATGGGACACATAAACTTTTATGACATGAAAAAGGGATTAAAGAAAGGAGCCTACAGAGGAGTTCTAACACTTGACATAGATGAAAATAAAAAGTGTGATGCATGCCTTGAAAACAAAATCACACGAACAGTTCACAAGAAGACATTGAGAATACACACCTCCAGAATTTTAGAGTTACTCCACATGGATCTGTTTGGACCCACTCAAACGGAAAACATAGGAGGAAAAAGGTACGTCTATGCTACTGTTGATGATTACTCACGATTCACATGGGTAAACTTCCTTAGAGAGAAGTCTGAAGCATTCACAACCTTCAAAACTCTCATCATCAAAATCCAAAACGAAAAGGATGGGAAAATAAGAAAAATCATCCGTTTAAGGAGTGATCATGGTAGAGAATTTGAAAACTCGAAATTCAGAGACTATTGCATAGAAAATGGAATTCATCATGAATTCTCCGTTCCAAAAACACCCCAACAGAATGGAGTAGTCGAAAGGAAAAATTGAACCATCCAAGAGACGGCAAGGGTTATCTTAAATCACAAAAGATTATCATAAAGGTTTTGGGCTGAAGCAGTAAACACCGCATGCTACTTGATCAATCGAGTATATATACGGAAAGAAACCAACATGACACCCTATCAAATCTGGAGGGGAAAGATACCAAAACTAAAGCATACTCATGTCTTTGGCAGCAAATGCTATATATTAAAAGATAGAGAACCATTGGGAAAGTTTGACATCAAATGAGATGAAGGAATATTCCTAGGATACTCATCAAATAGCAGGGCTTACCGGGTATTCAACCTCAGAATAGACAGTGTCATGGAATCCATAAATGTTGTCATTAATGACGCATCTTCATATGAACTCACCACTAATGAAGAAGGACCAAGTGTTGTTGAAACAACTGTTTCAACATCTCTGGAACAGAAATCTGAAACAGAAGCAACAGAGAAACATGAAACAAAACCTATTGAGGAAATTGAGGAAAGTCATACTATTGAGGGCACAAGGACATAGAAAAATCATCCCTTAGAAAATATTATAGGAAGGCTCAATGAAGGGATTAAAACTAGAGGAAAGAAACGAGATTATCGGAAAATGTAGGAAGGAGACTACTGCTACACTTCCAAAATAGAGCCCAAAAACATTACTGAAGCCTTAAATGATGAATTTTGGGTGGAAGCCATGCAGGAAGAATTACAACAGTTTGAAAGAAACAACGTCTGGGAGTTAGTCCCTAAACCTGAAAAAGCCAATATCATCGGGACAAAATGGATTTACAAGAACAAAACAGATGAACAAGGAAACATAACAAGAAACAAAGCTCGACTAGTAGCACAAGGATACACACAAGTTGAAGGGACAGATTTTGAGGAAACATTTGCCCCAGTAGCGAGAATTGAATCAATTCGGCTTCTCATAGCAGTAACATGCATACTCAAGATAAAACTCTATCAAATGGATGTAAAAAACAACATTCTTAAATGGCAATTTAAAAGAAGAAGTCTATGTTGCTCAATCAAAGGGGTTTGAGGATCCTCATCTTCCACAAAACGTGTTTAAACTCAACAAAGCTCTATATGGGCTTAAACAAGCACCACGAGCTTGGTATGAACGACTCACTGAATTTCTAGTCAAAACGGGCTACAAAAGAGGAAGTGTTGACAAAACCCTATTTGTTAAACACTATAGTCAAGACATTGTCATTGCCCAAATCTATGTTGATGACATAGTCTTTGGATCAACACTTGAATGCCACAAAAACCAATTCATCACTGACATGGAAGGAGAATTTGAGATGAACATGGTTGGTGAACTAAATTACTTCTTAGGCTTACAAATCAAACAACAAGATAATGGGATCTTTGTATCACAAAACAAATAAGAGATTCGGACTAGAAGAAAGCAAAGTTGTCAGAACACCTGTTCCAACAACAGAAAGGATCTCAAAAGATTTAGAAGGTAAAAAGGTTGAACAAACTCTATATCGAAGCATGATAGGAGGCCTATTGTATTTAACTGCAAGTAGGCCAAACCTAAGCTTTGGAGTAGGAATATGTGCAAGATATCAAGCCAATCCCACTGAGCAACATCTAAAAAGCAGTAAAAAGAATCACTAAATATGTCAAAGGAACTATCAACATAGGAATATGGTATTCTTTCGATACCAATTATCACTTGTCAGCTTATTGTGATGTTGATTGGGCAAGAACATAGATGACAGGAAAAACACCTCAAGAGGATGTTTTTTCCTAGGAACAAATCTAGTATCTTTAATAAGCAAAAAACAAAGCCCTATATCCTTATCGACAGCTGAGGCTGAATACATTGCAGCGGGAAGTTGTTGCACACAACTACTTTGGATGAAACAGATGCTAGAAGACTATGGAATACATCAATCAACTATGACCATTCATTGTGATAACAAAAGCGCAATAGATATTTCAAAAAACCCAGTACAACACTCAAGAACAAAGCACATTGATATCAGGCATCATTTTATAAGAGAACTAGTAGAAGATAAAATCATCAATCTCACACACATTAATACAGAAAATCAACTAGCAGATATTTTGACAAAAGCTCTTGACGGGAACAAATATGCAAAATTAAGGACCGAAATTGGTCTATGCAATTTAAGAACAAAAGGGGGAGGGGGGGGGGGGGGGGGGGAGGGAGCATCTCTACAAGCCATGACTAATCAGAGGCCCAAATTTTTAATAAAAAAGGGGGCAAAGAATCAAAGGCCCAACATCTTAAAATCAAGCAAAGAAGCCCAAACCCGATCCACATTTTACACCGATGTCGTCTTCTACCTAAAACTGCCTCTCACAGAGCATCTCCCACAACTCCACAACAAACAATCATGGTGAGAACATGAAACCAAGCAAAGGGAAAGTTACCTCGAAGAGGCACCGCATTAAAACTCGTCGGCACCAGTGTTCCATCGAATCTAGTACACATTGAAGATGATGATCCCATGAATATCGTCATGGACCCTGTCCCGATCTCACAAGCTCCATTTCAAGATGTGCGAGAAATTGCTTCTTCAGGTACCCTAAACCTCTCTGTAGATCTATATGAGGATCCTCCAGACTGTCTGCCAACTGTAGACAATCCGGGGAATTTTGTCAACCAAAATTCAAATTTAGATGCCCTAGATCGTTACCGAACCCCAATTCTGTCTTCCACAAATAGCTTCGAAAGAGACCTACACCGGTTCTCTGAAGGGGAAGAAGAAACAGAGGAACCAAAGCGATCACAATCCAATCCATGTTCCATGGACGATGAACCCCCCTCACAACCATGGAAGAACTTCCTCCGAATACCAAGAAAAAAAAAAAAGGAAACAAGATCCCTTTGAAGGTACAGACCCCAGGGCCAAAAGGCCAAATGATTTCCCAATTAGAGTAGGTCTTCCTCAGAGGCAACCCAATTTTCCACCGCGGCTAACAAAATCTAAACCTAAGAAACCAAGGGGAAATTTGACAGAGGATGAGGAAAGCTGGGTGCCTGATAACACAGATGATGATTTCGAGCATACAGGACCAAGAACTCGTGCAAAACACAAAGAAAAAGAAAAAGGAAAATTACCCTGTGAATTGTCCAAATTAATTAAGAAAAAAGGGAAAAGGAAAGTGAGGTGTGACAATGCTGATCTGTCAAAACTGCCAAAATCTCACAACTCCAAGTTTCTAAATAAACAGTCTGTTAAGCTATGGGACAAAATAGGGGAGAGAAAAATCATCAACCAAAAGTTGTTAGTTTTGGACAGGCTGGATAATCATGAACAAATCACAGAAGCATTAACAAATAGAAATCTACTGGGAACAGTCACCCATGTTGAGCCATATGATGAACATATCATACAAGAGTTCTTGTTGGTCCCGAAAGGGTGGCGAGAAGTCTAGAGGGGGGGTGAATAGACTTCTCTAACTTTTCCAAACTTCTTCTGCAAACAACACTTTGTAGCTTCAACTCTAAGTAACAAGCGTAAACAAGTATAACAACTTAGAGTGTGCACAGCGGAAATGTAACGGCAAAGTGTTATGCTTTAAATTGTGTCGTGCTCAAGAGAGATTCTATACATGCATCATGTTAGAAACACTTGATATAGATGTAGGATGATGTATATAAAATTTCACTTGCATGCAAACGAGGGAACTATCAAACCCAGACAGATAAAGATACGCAATAAACCGTAACGGGTTAGTTCACAAATAATATAGGCATGCACGAAATATATATGAGCAGTAAGTAAATAGAGAGAGAGAGATTTATAGTGGTTCAGAGGTGGTGTAATCCTCCTAGTCCACTCTTCTCCTTTCACTTCAAGGAGGAAATTCACTATTCTTCGATCACCCAGATACAATAGTGAATAAGTGCCCAACGACACTTCTCCGAGTGCTTCGCACAAAGCTACACTCCACCAAGGTTTTTCGCAAGCTCCTCTTGTTACTCCGCCTTCCCGAGTACTTCGCACCAAGCTGTACTCCTACACCACGAGAACTACGCACAAAGCTACGCTCTCACTGGGTTTTCACAAGCTCCCCTTGTTACTCTGCCCGTTACAACCGAGTGCTACGCACAAAGCTACACTCCAACTGGGTTTTTCACTCTCCCTAGTTACTCTACCCCTTTTCTACACTCAGTAGAAGATTTACAATGAAATACAAAGATTTTTTCTCTCAGACTTGAATTCTATCTTATATAGCTCAATATACCACTTGTTGATTGATTGGATAATTTTCTTTGTTGTTCAAGTGTTTTCTGAATCTCTGTTAGATTCGTTGCATGTCTTCAAGTCTGCTTGGGCAATTTATAGCAGATGAAAGCTATTTGCCTATTGATCAACTTTCGATCTCGATCGTCCATTTTGAATTGTAGTTGATCAATTAATTTTGCCAACTTGGTCTGCAAAAAATCATTTCGCCGTCTGTCAGAAGATTTAAATAAATTTGTCGTTGCTCCTCTTTAATCTGACAAAGCTTTTTCCTTGTTATGGGTAGCCTCCAAATTTGAATTTCTCTGGCATGATTTTCGTTGAATTATTGATCTGATGTGCCAAGTTGATCAAATAATTTATCTGCTGATTCTTGCTTGAGTAATAAAAAGATCTCCTTCGTATATCAGCTTCTTCTTCTCCTTCGACTTCTTCTGCAGAAACAGAGCTTCAAAAAATGTTTCTGTCTAATTTTATCATGATGTCATAGCTCCTTTTGATGAAGTCATGTCCCAATAGTATATCATGTTCCACCTTGTATCATGGACTATATATATCATGTTCCATTTCATATCATGAGCTAGCTATCATGGACCATGTATCACGTTCCATTATATATCATGAACCAATATCATGAATTCATAAAATCGCTTCAGGTGGAAATCGAACTATGGACCATTTGCTTTGCTTGGCAAAGCTTCTTCCATCTCAGCTGGGTAACCAATTGATATAATCCAAGACTTAAATTCTTTTGACTTATCTCCTCCACGTGTTCTCCACTAGCTTTATCACATTGTGATGTCATTACCCGATAGTCGTGACGTCAGTATAACCTGATATTACTATCATGATGACATCATCTCCTAATATTGCTACTTCACGATAGCAATTCATCTTTACACCAAAATTGCTTCTAATGAGAATCGAACTGTGGATCATCTTGCATTAGGCATGCTTCAACAAGTTTTCTACCATCTCGTCCATCTCAACCTTTGGTAACTTGATGCTTCATAAATCTGTTAAGCTATGATCCCGCTTTCATTTATTCTTCTTTAAAACTGCTTTTTCGTAGACTTCATGTAGGCTTCATGGCAGTGGTGCACTATACTTGGTGAACCAGAACTGACTCAAATAAAATAAAATTGGGATCTACAAAATACATTTGGCTCAGCAAAAATTATACAATATATTCCTAACAGTTCTACTGCAATCTTACCAAGGAAACCACCAAACCTAGCAGTTCCTTGTATGGAAAGGTATACATAAGAGGAAATTTCTATGATTTTAATCCAGGCATTATCAACAACTATATGGGAACATCTAATGAAGAGCAATCTGTACAAATCAGTAGTGAACAAATTGCCTTAGAACTTACAGCTGGGAATGTAACCTTTGAAAAAGGGAAGATCAAGGCAGCATCATTGACCAGTAAATATGCAATTCTCCAGAAAATAGCCCTTGTCAACTAGATGCCATCCTTGCATGAAACAACTGTGAAGTGGAAGCTGGCAGAATTGCTATACAAAATTGGAAAGGGTATCAAGGTTAACATTGGAAACATTATTATTTCACATATCACCAATCTTGCAGACAACAACATGCCCAAGGCTTCACTCATCTTCCCAAATTTGATCTACTTTGTTATAACTGTCCAAGGCCTCAAGTCTCATGGCCAGAAAACACGTGTCAGAGCCATCAACACCACCATTAAGTTAAAGAAAGGTGGTCATCAGAATGATCTAAAAACCTCTGCTCTAAAGGAAAAACCAACGGATCAACATACCTTGATCAAATACTTTGACAAAAGACTGTCAGAATTAGATACCTCAGAAAAGACAAATCATAAGAAGACATATGGATATTAAGGAAGAAAAAGTAGAGGTGTTACACTGGATCCAAGCCCTGAAAACAAATGTTACAGAGGAATGTCAAGAGAATAGTCAAGAAGAAGATGAGGAAAATCAGAAGGAAAGTGAAGAAGGAGGCAGTGAAAGTCAGAAGGAAAGTGAAGAAGAAGGTGTTGAATCCCAGGTTTCAACACACTCATTTTAGCAAAAAAAAAAAAAAGGGGGGGGGGGGGGGGGGGGGGGAGAAAAAGAGTGAATCTGGAATCTGGATTCTACAATTGTTCTATGTGCTCTTATTTTTTTATTTTTTTATTTTTTGTGAAAAAGCCTGTGTGCTCTTGTTTTTGTGAAAAAGTATGTGTGCTTCTAGGAGTTCTAGCTTTCTTCTATACAAAGAGCTTGTGAGCTTTGTACTTTTGTACAAACTGCTAAATTTCCACTTAACACTTCTCTTTACCTTTGTCTAGTCACCACTTCTGAAAGGTTCCAGGAAAATCAATTAAGGGGGAGAAGTATCAAACCCCTCACAAGACAAGTTCTAGGTTTTTGCAAAAATTTGACAAAGGGGAAGAGTGTTGACTCAAAATAGTTTGTCAAAGTTATGAGCAAAAAGGATTTCCAGTTGAATAAAGGAATACCAGATCAATGAGGATTAATTATTAAATGATACTAGTTGCAAATGGATTTAGATTTTCAAGTTCTAGTTTGAAAAGGAATAACTTTGCCATTCCTTCAACTATTAGGAGTAGCCACTACAAATAAGGGACATTCCTTATTACAGAGCTCACGCTTTGAATATCCAAACTTGTGAGGTACGAGAGTCATTGAGAAGAGCTACCCAAATCCCCTAGAAAGTAGTACATGTGGTTAGGTTACAATAGTGTGATAGGTAATATCTTTCTATTGTGTAATTTCAGATTCCAAACAATGTACTTTGGATACTAAGCTTTTAGTGGATTTAGGCAAATTCTCAAGTTGAGAAGTGCCTCGCAGATTAGGGTTGTTTGCCCGAACTGCGTTATAGATCATTTGTGTTAAAACGATAGTTTCAACATCACTGTGTGCTACGCTTCTATATATTTCATATTGAATTCGAAAAATAAAACATACCCTGCTATCATTTGAATGTGCTATTGTTGAATTCTTTTCATCTAATTTTTTATAATGAGAACTACAATTTCTCAGGTTAGATGGTTACCTCGATATCATAGAGGACATATTCTCTACAGTTCACAACTTCACTGGCCCTACGTTCTCCATAAGTACGAATGCTTGACCTTCAATGCACACGTTGTTTTCATTGGTGATATCTCACTGGCCAAGATGTACATAGGAGCCATATTGGAACCCAACTTTTCAAGTGACAATGTGTTTGTATTGATATATAATTGCAGTGATGTATCTGATATGAAATTAGACTCCTTTTATAGGCCATGATTTAGAGTTATATTCTGAATGTATCTTCATTAATGCAGGAATTCGAAGGGACACAATGTTTAATACAAACTAATTCTCAAATCAAAGAGTCTCAAATTTAAATCAGCCGTCCAAAGATTTATAACAATAAAGGCGTAGAACTGAATAGGCTAATCCTGAAACGACGTAGTATTTGTTGGGCGAGATTGGAGCCAAATTTTTTTGCCAAAAACATCTAGCTTTTTTATATATAGGATTTGTGTTTCTAAATTAAAACACATAACAACTGTAGAAGGGAATTTGTAAATACAATACATGGTCTATTAATATTGTATGACTACAGTATTTGAAAGGAACTTGTGAATACAAAACAAGATAATCAATTACATATATGTTAACATTGTGTGTTTGTAGTATACAAATTGTGAATATTTAAAAGATATATTGTTAATACTTAATATGTAAATTTTGAACATTTAGACTCGGGTCCACCTTGGATCCACAGAATAATTTGCCTTATTTGCAATTGCTACCGTCGTCGCTGTCTACACCATCACGTCACAATAGCTTGCACACCACCACCACCAAGGCCAACAATTATACTGTGGACTGTGGTCCACAAAGCTTTGTGGCACGCGGTCCAAAAATGATGCCATTTCTTTAAGTAAAGGAACGGCGCATCGTTACAGTTAACGGAGCGCGCATGTTTGGTGTATTAATTACCAACTGAAACTACAGTGAAGGATAACCTCCCACTTGCTGTGTGGGTGGTGGTCTGTAGGAGCCTCCTCTTTGAGGTGGGTTTTGAGTGTTAATATTACCCCTGTAGGTGTTGTAAAAAGGACTTCCACCCTGATTTCCTCCTTGTCTTTGGTTTTGCCACCCTTGACTCTGAGATGGCTGTTGTTGCCACCCTTGACCTTGCCTCCAATTTGGGTTTGTGTTACCAACTGAATTGAAGTTTTAGTAACCCACAGCACCTACTTGTTCACAACCGGGATCATCATATGTAGAAGTGCACTCTTGGGCACCATGTGGTCCACCACATATGTCACAGTATAGAGCTAGTGACATACACGGATTTCCCTCTTGCGGTTGCTTACCCATCTTTTCAATCCTTGCTTGAAGCCTTCGGATTTCATGCCCCATTGCTTCAACTCTGGCATCAGAAGCTGTACTGTTACTCACCTCATATAATCTGGACTTAGAATCCCTTTTGTTATACCAACAAGATGTGTTGGCTGAAATGATCTCAATCAATTCTTCAGCTTCTTCTGGTAATGAGGATACGAATGCCCCCTTCGACGAGGAATCCAACAACATCTTATTTTTGTCAGTTAATCCCCCGTAAAAAGAACTGATGACGTCTCAAGGATGAAACACATCTGGTGGGCATTGTCGTTTCAGTGCCTTAAATCTCCTCCAGGCTTCCCCCAACGATTCCATAGAGCCCTGCTTGAAATCCTGAACTTGTTTTCTGATGACATACGTTCACATTATAGGAATCAATCAATGGATCACAACAAAGATATGAAACCATACTCAACAACGAAGGATCACAATCCGACACCAAACGATGGTCAACACAAGTTGCCAATCTCAATAGGGAAGAACAAACCGCACACACTAGCATTTCAACATCAAATTAGCATGCTTATCAAACGGGTAAACCAAAAGTAGTTCCTTAGAACATACAAGACTCAACATCAATCCAACGAATCACAAAGTTGGACCACAAGCACGATTCAAGACACCAAATCTTACATAGATTCCTAACATATCGCTCTAGACATACGAAACATCAAGAAGACAATCAAATCGCCCAACACACTACTACAGAAAATAGCTTTAACTTCGGCTAAATGACCCCATTTAACGTCGGCTAACGTACGACGTTGTAAGAAAATAAACGATGTCGGTTATTTAACCGACGTCGTATGTATTTTAAAATTAAGAAATAAAGATACGACGTCGGCTAATAGCCTATTAGCCGACGTCGTATGTATTTTTTTAAAAAAAAATATACATACGACGTCGGCTAATGGCCTATTAGCCGTATTTTAAAAAATAATAATAATGATACGACGTCGGCTAATAGCCTATTAGCCGACGTCGTATGTATTTTAAAAAAAATAATAATGATACGACGTCGGCTAATAGTCTATTAGCCGACGTCGTATGTATTTTAAAAAATAATAATAATGATACGACGTTGGCTAGTAGCCTATTAGCCGACGTCGTATCATTATTTTAAATAATATATAATTATACGACGTCGGCTAATAAGCTATTAGCCGACGTCGTATGTGTATATTTTTTTTTTATTAAAAATGTTTGATGCTTTCTAGCCCAACCTGCTGTATCAATCAGAACCTGTGCAGCTAGTTACATTCAACATCAACATCAACTAATTCAAGCTACGTACTAAACATGAAACTAATTAAGCTACTAAAAATAAAATTAATATAAATAACACAATCAACATCAACTAATTCAAGCAACAAAACTACTAATTAACATCAAACCAATAAACACAAAGTAGTTTTAAACATAAAGTAGTATCAATTGAGCAACGTTTTATTAACCCATTAATCAATAAGAAACTTAGACCACTTGTTTCTAACGTCATCAATATCTTGTTTGTTGTATAGGGCAATCTTCCTTGTCTTTCCAAAATCTACAAAGTTCAAAAAAAAATAATAATAAATAAGAAAATATTTTAAACAACATTTGAAGAAGAAATATGTATTATTAAATTACTTGCCTTATCCATTCCTTTGCTTAGGTTGTTGGAAACAATTTCCCACATGAATTTCATTACATAATAAACACATTCGGGTGCTTCCTTTTTGTATAGCACACTACATTTGAATTACAATAAAATTATAAAAAAGTAATAAAAAACAATACGTTTGCATGTTTTACAAAGTGAAAGAAGTACTTACCAAACATGTAGTCCATTTCGGTGGACGAGATTGTTTCTTTCCACTCATCATGCTTGTTGCAGCCATACACCTAGCCATACACCTATTCATATAAGACATAAAATATATGTAAATATTTGGCATCACTAGTTTAATAATAACTATTAATTCATTATATAAATTTACATACGTTCCCATTATATGTTTAATGTCTTCATGCGGCCCATGACCAAGTGAATCAGACCAAAAAATTTCATTTAATCTAGGACAAATCGCCATCAG